CCTGGGGCCGGGCCATGGGCCCCATCGTCGGCCTCTGTGTTTCTCACTGAGACGGGCAACACGGGTCCATCACGTGGCCTCAGCACCTCAGTGTGTGTGTGTGTGTGTGTGTGTGTGTCTGTGTGAAGTTGGGGGAGTGTCCTCAGCATCTCACTGAGTGTGTGTGTGTGTGTGTGTATGTGTGTGTGTGTCTGTGTCTGTGTATGTGAGAAATTGGGGGAGTGTCCTCAGCACCCCATGTCCGGTTCTGTCTCTGCAGTATGGCCGCTACCAGCACTACGGCGCCGAGGAGTGCGTGCTTTTTCGTTGCTACTTCATAACTGTCATGTTGCTATTGTTATGAATCGTCATGTAAATATCTGATATGCAGGATGGTCTTAGGCGACCCCTGTGAAAGGGTCGTTCGACCGCCAAAGGGGTCACGACCCACAGGTTGAGAACCGCTGTTCTAAGCCGTGGGAACCACTAGTGAGTCATGAACTTGCCCGCTGATTCAGAGCAACAGTGGCTGGTTTCCTCTGAGCGGCTGTCGGAGAGGCGGTGGCAGAGTCCCCGTCCGTGGGGTCTGCGCACGGCTGCCGGCCTGGAGTCTCAAGAAGCAAAAAGAAGGTTCACATGGGAAACGTGACGTGCTGTCGCGTCATAAAGATCGTTCCCGGTGGCGGTGACGTTTGTGCCGAGAGCTCCGGCCCCCGGGCCTCGGCCTGGCTGGTCTGGCCGGGCTGACGCGGGGTGAGGCAGGCGACGCGGGGGCCACTGCGCTATAAGCTGACGTGGCGAAGGGACAGCGCCCGACAGGGAACGCGGAGGGGAGAGGCTGGCTGCTGACAAACGTGCAGTGGGTGGAGGGAAACGTTCGCTCTGAGCGCAGCGTAGCCAGGGCTCTGGGAGGGACGGGTGGTGGCAGGAGCACAGCCACCCAACTGGCTGAGCACAGAGGCACCTGCAGGTAAGTCGGCTCCTGTCGCCTGTACAGCCGCCTGCCTGTCTGGGGTGCACATTGAAAAAGAAAGAGGGACCACAGGCCTGAGCAGAGAGGGCGCCCTGGCTTCGTGAGTGCACGGCGCCAGCATGCTCCTCAGGCAGCGGGGCCGCCGCACAGATCATGGGAACCAGACCGCCCGTCCCGCCTCAGTGGCCGTCGCTGGCCCTGTGATCGGCACCCTGCATGTGGCCTGCACCGGCAGGGGGTCCCGGGGTCAGAATACTGAGAACATTTCCTTTCGGAATCAGTTCCTGTCGCTCTTCACCAATGGCCACATTGTGTGCTGCGTCCTAACTGCCCGTGCTTGTTGCATTCTCTCCCGCTGCATTGTAAGACCTTAGCTTCGCCCTCCCCGTGTGGCTCAGCTGGTTGGGGCGTTCGTGGGCACGGAAGGCTCTGTTTCCGGTCAGGGCACGTGCCCGGGGTGCAGGAGCCATCCCCAGTGCGGGGCGTGCAGGAGGCAGCCGATCCATGATTCTCTCTCATCATTGATGTTTCTCTCTCCTTCCTTCCTTCCTTCCTGAAATCAATAAAAATATACATATATAAAAAGAAATTCCTTTCACCTTTAAACAAGTAATAATAATAATGACCATAATAATAAAGAAATCAGAGGCCCCAGAGAGCCCGGCA